TGATGTCAAATAAAACCAGCAGACTAATCCATTCAGCCATCCACAGAATTATGAGAAACAATACATTATTACTGTTTTAAGCGATGAATTTTGGAGAGTGGTTTGTTACACAACCATAGGTAACTAAAACAACCTCTGTGCTCCTGTTGTCAGTAAATAGCTTCCCTGTCTACCTGGTTGTTTATGTCAGTTCCCTCTCCCTCACATCTCACATTTAATCCTTCCTAAATACATATAAAATCTCCCTACTTTTCACTTTCCCCTACCGCTAGGATATGAGTTCTGTTCCTCTTCATCTCTCACCTGGATTATCACAGCAATCTCTAATGGTGCTCCCTATTTGTTGAGTGCTATCTCCCTGCTCCCTACCTTTCCCATTCAATTTGTCATACCCACCGTGATCAGAGCATTCTTTACTATAGGCAGATGTAACCATGTTCCTCCACTGCTTAAAGCCTTTGGCTTGCAAGGTAAATTCCCAAGTTTTTAACATGATTTATGAGGCCTTAAGATCATCTGGCCCCTGCCTCTTCTCAGTCCTGTCTTCCACCAAGCCTCTCATTGAACCCTGTGTTTCTAGAGCTGCTTCACAGGTTCTGGTGACCTTCTGGCACCTGTGTAAGCTCCCTCATTGTATGAGGCAACCTCTGAAGGGGTCAGATGAAAACACTTAACCTGTCAACACACCTAAGTTCCTAGGCCGGTCATGAGAGACTCACACTGGGGTGTGGATTTGAACCTTGTAAAGATCTGAACATTCCAAATGATATCTACCCTTATGATACTACCTTTTCTAAGTGACTGATTCTCACTCAGTAAAAAGCATCAATTTTATATTTCATATAAAAACCATGAGCTGGAGAAAGCTGATTACTCTGGCAATTAGAAAAGATTTAAGGAAACTTTTTTTTTGTAGGACTCTTCACCACAGTGGTACTCACTGAGCAACCATAATTCTGGGGTCGAATAGAAAGAGTCCTAGATTTGGAATCAGATAGACTTGGTATCTGGTTCTGCCATTTACCAGATATATACCCTTGGCAAGTCACTCGAATTTTCTGAGTTCTGTTTCCTCATTTATAAAAAGGGGATGACAATTCATACATTGCATGATTGTACTGAGGATTAAATGAGATAAAGATATGAATGAACCCATCATATGTTACAGCCTTAATGGTTATAGTTATATTTTTTATTTATTTTATTTATTTTTTTAAAGATTTTATTTTATTTATTTGAGAGAGAGAGAATGAGAGAGAGAGAGCACGAGAGGGAAGAGGGTCAGAGGGAGAAGCAGACTCCCCGCCGAGCAGGGAGCCCGATGTAGGACTCGATCCCAGGACTCCAGGATCATGACCTGAGCCGAAGGCAGTCGCTTAACCGACTGAACCACCCAGGCGCCCTATAGTTATATTTTTTAAAGATTTTATTTGTTTATTTGAGAGAGAGAGAGTGCATGAGTGGGGGAGGGGGGAGGGGCAAGGGGACAAACAGATCCAGGACCCTGAGGCCATGACCTGAGCCAAAGTCCGACGCTTAACGGACTGAGCCACCTGGGACCCCCCCTTTTTTTTTTAATTTTATTTATTTATTTGACAGAGAGAGACACAGCGAGAGAGAGAACACAAGCAGGGGGAGTGGGAGAGGGAGAAGCAGGCTTCCCACGGAGCAGGGAGCCCGATGGGGGGCTCAATCCCAGGACCCCGGGATCATGACCTGAGCTGAAGGCAGACGCTTAACGACTGAGCCACCCAGGCACCCCCACCTGGGACCCCTTAATGATTATAGTTATTAATCAATATCATCCAAGGTAAAAAGTAGACTTTTGGGGTAGAATAAGTCTTTCTTCCTGTTTTTATGTGGGCATTTAGATCTGAAAGTGAAGACAGTTAAATACAATTTGATTTGTTCTTCTCTCTGGTGGTAACCTGCTAGTTAATAGGGAGATAGCTATTGGGGGACATAATTGATACAGCTCAAGTGTCAGAAGTGGCCTCGCTGGGGCGCCTGGGTGGCTCAGTCATTGGGCGTCTGCCTTCGCAGGTCATGATCCCAGGGTCCTGGGATCGAGCCCCGCCTCGGGCTCCCTGCTCAGCGGGAGGCCTGCTTCTCCCTCTCCCCACTCCCCCTGCTTGTGTTCCCTCTCTCACTATGTCTCTCTCTGTCAAATAAATAAATAAAATCTTAAAAAAAAAAAAAAAGAAGTGGCCTCTCTGCCCCCTTAAGATCTAAATGCAATGGGCTTGAACTTCCATTTTCATATTTTACAATCCTTATAAGTTCTAAGCCTTCCTGGAAATTTTTGTAAATAATGTGAGGGCTGTGCTCTCATAGTCTCTGCCCCTAGCCTCCATTTTCAACTCAGAAAAACAAAGCCCATTGCACAATTTCCCTACTCACTCATCCTCAGTACTCCCCTCAGACAGCATTCCTGAGTTTAACAGCCTTTACTGAGGTCTCAAGAGTCACAGCAAGTGGTCACATCGTACACTTGACAACGTATCCCATTTTATGCATCCTAGAGCTTAAACACTTTTTTGTCCACCTGGTATGGGAGAGTTTCTTCTGACCTTTTACCCATGTAGCACCTACCCTTACACTGATTTTTCTACTCATCTTCTGCCTCTCCCTCCTACTTTGCCAAGTGAATTCTAAATTCTCCTCCCTTTTCTATCCAGAGCAATACAGTGTTCCTCCTTCTCTTCCCATCCTTATATATCCACACTCTTCAAGGCCCTGAGTAGGACAAAAGGGCCTTCTGTACGTTAGGGTCTATCCTTCTTAGAAGGCGCTTGTGGCTAAAAATAGCATTTGTTTTTCTGTTATAACCACAGTGTTTCCTGTTTATTGAGTGCTTACTATGTGCCTGACACTGTATCAAGTTCTTTTCAGTAGCTATCTCATTTTCTTATTTGGTCTTCATAATGACCCTGGGAGGTAGCTCTCATTATTGATATTTCTACAAATGAGCTTGATGTGTGTGTGTGTGTATTCAAAAAATTATGCAACTTGCATAGGATCATACAGCAAGCAACTGGTGGAACAAGGATTGAAAACCAGATCTAGCTGGCCCCAGTTTTGTGCTCTTTCCATTTTACTACATGGCCTTCCAGGAGGAGAAAGAGAAAGTAATCAGAAGACCTGAGGCTACATAAACACAACACCATCTGTTCTCATATTGTTTCACAACTTTAAAAGGACAGTTTTGTATGTTATCTCATTATTCCTGTGAAGAATGAATAGTTGGGGCGCCTGGGTGGCTCAGTCGTTAAGTGTCTGCCTTTGGCTCAGGTCGTGATCCCAGGGTCCTGGGAGCGAGCCCCACATCGGGCTCCCTGCTTTGCAGGAAGCCTGCTTCTCCCTCTCCCACTCCCCCTGCTTGTGTTCCCTCTCTCGCTGTGTCTCTCTCTGTCAAATAAATAAATAAAATCTTAAAAAAAAGAGAATAAATCGTCGTTATCATTACACCCATTTTGACATGAGTAAACCAGGGCCTTGTGGGAGACAGGGAGTGGGAGAACAGGTAGTATAGGATATTTGATTTTGGGATCACAAAGGCACTAGTTTGGGGTTAGTAAGAAGTTCAGGGTGTGACCATGGGAGCCAGTGGCCAAAGTGATGTGAAGAGGAGACAAAGGACTGAGGGATCAGGAAACCACACAGCTACTGAAGTCAGGATGGCAGGACAGGGGCTAATGAGGCAATGCTGACTCCACCGCCTAGTTTTATGGCGTGTGGCGGGTGGGAAAGTGAGAAGCCTTCTTGCAGAGGGACTACAAGAGGAGTCCTGGAAGAGGGTCAAGTCTCAACAAGAAAAGAAGTAACCTGAAAACTCTCTGAAGAAGCAGAGGATGTAGGAGAGTTTATTGATAAAGGAACAGGGTTCTATAGGGTACAGTGGAATGGTCGGCCAGGGAGGTGGGCAGTCAGAAGGTGAGTGAAGGGGAGAGGGATGGAGAAGCTCAGAAATGTATAAGGATGAGTCTGAGAGAGAAGTTAGACAATCAGAGGGACTGTCAATTGGGCAGTTCCCCAGCTTGGGGAGACAAATTGCAGATAGGGTCATAATGGAACTTGGGGGAAAATGGTTTTGGTATCTGACTCAGACCTCTAAGATTTGAAATGGAGGAAGAGTGTGGGGAAGGATGATGATTCTAAATCAAAGCTGGCAACTACCCCTATGACCTCAGGAAGACTTAAAGTGAAGTCCATGTCAGGATGGGAGGTCAAATTGCCTCCTGTACCTGCCTCCTCTGACAGAATTGGGACTTCCTAATGATTGGCAATAACAATTTCTTACTCCAACCTACTGCTAATAATGGGAGCCATTGAAAGTTTTTATTTTGTTTTGTTTTAATAAGGTTGATGGTAGCATGGTGACATTTAGGACAATCACTCAGGCTGCTGGTGTACAGGATGAATTGAAGAGTAGGTGGGGAGATCAATTAGGAGGCTGTTACATTAGTCCAGGCAAGAAGTGATGAGGTCTGAAACAGGGTGAGAGCCGTGGAGATGGAGAGGAAGGGCAGCGATAGGACATGATAAGGAGGTGTTATTACCAGACTCATGGGATGTGGGCATGAAGGAGTGCACAGAGTAAAGCACAATGCCCAGGTTTCTGACTTAGTTTCCTCTTGTAGTCAGCCGTCCAGGTTCTGCCTTTCTTCCTGGGCTTTTGTGAACATGAAGCAATATGACAGGAGAGTGTTTTGGAAATGGCAAAGCTGGGTACCCATCATCATCTACATTATTATCAAAGCTCTCTGATCACCATAGTAAGTTCAGTCTGTGAAATGAGATGTGACAATTAAGATAAATCACGGTAGTCACCCAGATATCAGCGAACTCAGGGTGGAGGGAGGGCAGGGATCCAAGATACAACGAATTTCTACACCTGCCGGCAGCTGGAGCCCGGGGCGGAGCGAACACAGACTCCACCCCTGGGCGGGGCGTGGGCGGGGCCTGGACGCGGCAGTAGCGGAGCCGAGCTGTAGCCAGAGCCTCAGCCCTAAGTAGCCGCGGTGGGCACCAGACCCGACCCGCACCGACTCGCACCGCCGTGCTCCGCGAACCCGGCTGCGTCTTCTGCCTCGTGCCGCCAGGTCCGCCGTCCCGCAGCTTTGCCAGGAGCAAGCCGCTCGTAACGCACCCGGAGTCCCAGGTAAGGGGCGCGGCCCGGGCACCCCGCCTGGAGAGAATCTGGGACCCACCCCGGCTCGGGGCTCTGGCGACAGCGAGCGGGCGCTGAGGGGTGCGGGTAGCGGGAGGCGACACCGAGAATAAGGGGCTGGGAGAGGCCGCTGAGGAGGGGGCACCATGACCGGGAGGGAGGCGCATAGCTGAGGGGGTCTATCAGACCGCGAGGGCGGCGAGGGGTGCTCCGAGGGCAGGGGGCGGCGGGAGGTGGGAAAGCAAAAGTGGCCACTGGAGCGCAGTAGGGGCTCGCTGGGGAAAAACACGGGGCGTTGGGGGCGGGGAGATGTAAGGAGGGCCTGAGAGGGGCAGTGCGGGAAGGGGGTGCCAGGCAGCTGAGGGGCGTGAAGCGGGCGCTGAACGAGGGCACTGAGGACAGCGAGGCAAGGGGGCGGCGTGGAGGGCAGTACACGGGGTCCGCAAGGGTCGTGGTGAGCTGGAGAGCAGTGAGGTGATGAGGGAAAGGGGCGCCGGGCAGAGGGGGGTGTTTGTCGGGGAGAGGGGAAGAGGGTGAGGGAATGTGAATGGAGAGCTGGGAGCGAAAAGGATGCGGAGCCCGAGGCCAGCTTGGCGCGGGCACAGGGGATAACCATGAGTCGGGGCTGGGGGGTGGGGCTCGGAGGTGGGAAGCCTGCAAGACTGGGAAGGTGGGAGGCAAGGCTGGGTCTACCCAGACTGCAGAGGAAGGGGGCGGGGAGCTGGTGGAGGTAGAGGGCAGTGGCCTTGGATATGGGCAGTGGGCGCCTGAGTTCTGCTAGGGATGGGGGGCGGAGAGGCACGGGAATAGAGCAGGGGTCCGGCGGTTAGGGGTGGAGGAACTGTCTGGGAGCTTGGAGAGATTAGGGTAGTGGGTGTGCTGGGTTAGGTTGGGGAGGAAGCCAGGTATAGGTTGTGTGAGGATGGAAAGACAATGGGGCCCGTATGGAGTCCATGGGCACCCAGGTGCTAAAACGTGTCTTAGCTACTCAGAAGGCTGAGGAGGGGGCGCAGGCACTGAACTCTGATACACCACCACCTGGGATTACAGACAAGAAGAGAATTTTGGACAGAAATAGTCATCCACTGGCCGCCTCTGTTCATTAGTCTGAATGTATGAAGGATTTTAGGGAGGGCAGGGTGGCAGCCTCTGGAAGCTAATAAAGGTGTGGAGGGGAGTGGGAGAAAGACAGGGCCCTCCATCCCAACTTCCTGGAATTCAGATGGAAAGGGGTTGGGGACAGTAAAAGGAGTGTGTCTTTACAGGTGGATGCCCACCTGTTCTGTGCATAAAAATGGAGAAAGACCATGGAATACCATGAAAAGCCCTGGCTATGGTAGTGGGAAGTCCTGGCACTGTGTTAGCCAGAGAAGACATTCTGCCAGAAAGATGATGGGTAAGGGAAGGCTTTCTGGTCATGAAGGATTTAGCCAGCAGTGGAGGACAGTTGTGTTCCTGTCAGAGGAAACACTATGGGAAAAGGCAAAACTCTAAAATGATCTCCATCCCAATAAATAAATCTCCAGTTTCGTAAGGAATATGATGTGAAGAGAGATACCAATAACCTATAGAGGATATTTTAAAAGATTTTCCCCCTGGGCGCCTGGGTGGGCTCAGTTGGTTGAGCGACTGCCTTCGGCTCAGGTCATGATCCTGGAGTCCCGGGATCAAGTCCCACATCGGGCTCCCTGCTCAGCAGGGAGTCTGCTTCTCCCTCTGACCCTCTTCCCTCTCGTGCTCTCTATCTCTCATTCTCTCTCTCTCAAATAAATAAATAAAATCTTAAAAAAAAAAAGAGAGATTTTCCCCCTAAGCTCAGAACTCCTTACAGTTCCTCTCCATCTTCCCAGAGTACAGCACAGGGTGTGGTGCACAATAGATGCTCAGTGAATGTTGATTCAGTGAACAGTTGACCTGTGCTGGTGCTCCTGCCTCCAATTCACTCATCCCCCCACCCCATTGTTGTAAGAAGCAAATATGGTAACATGGGTGAAAAGAGCTTCATAAACTATAAAGCAGTGTACAAAAGAGAGAGGCCACTAATATTATGCAGGTGTGCCTGCACTCTGTGTAAGACAGAATGCGTTGAAAGCACTTAGTAGAGTTCCTGGCATTTAGTAGGTGTGCAGTAAATGGTAGCTATTATGATACAGTTTCCGGGGCTCTAAGAGACGTGGGGAAATAGTGAGGAGGTGGGCTGGGCTAGGCTGGCTGTGCTGGGTTGGGGAATGTCTAAAGAAAGTTTGAATTAAAAATAGAGTATGGCTTTAGGGAGCAGTTTGCATATAATAGGGTGAGGTCCACATTTGCCCAACTCCCTTCCTATCCTCACTAAATAGATGTTCCCAATGAGAAGATGGAGTACATTTACTGAGCACCTGCTATATGTCGTATATTATCTAGATGTTTTACCAACATTGACTATAATTTTCCCAACAATGCTTGTTTTACAAATGAGGAAACTGTGTCTTAGTCATGTAAAATTTCTTGGTCAAGGGGCGCCTGGGTGGCTCAGTCGTTAAGCGTCTGCCTTCGGCTCAGGTCATGATCCCAGGGTCCTGGGATCGAGTCCCACATCGGGCTCCCTGCTCGGCAGGAAGCCTGCTTCTCCCTCTCACACACCCGCTGCTTGTGTTCCTGCTCTCGCTATCTCTCTCTCTGTCAAATAAATAAATAAAAATCTTTAAAAAAAAAAAATTTCTTGGTCAAGGTCTCACAGCTAATAAATGACAGACCTGGAAACTGAATCTAGTTTGTTTGATTTGGAACCCCAAGCTATTTCTACTACCTAGGATGACTTGGTAGAAGAAAACATGAAGCAGACAGACAAAAAATTTTTAAGGGGTTTATAAGGCACTCTCCCATATATTGGTTTTTAATTCTTACAACAGTTTGCCAGGAAGTCTTTTGTTAACTCATTTTATAGATGAGAAAACTGATCTGCCTGAGGTTTCATGACTGTGAAATGACTGAGGTTTCATGATTGTTTCACAATCTTGTGCTATTTCTATCAAGAGAAGTTCAGGGCGCCTGGGTGGTTCAGTTGGTTAAGTGTCTGCCTGTGGCCCAAGTGATGATTCTGGGGTCCTGGGATTGAGTCCAGCGTTGTGCTCCCTGCCTAGCCTGCTTCTCTCTCTGTCCCCCCCCCCCCGCTTCCCCACCACTGCCGACTTGTGCTCCCTCTTGCTCTCTCCCAAATAAATAAATAAAATCATAAAAAAAGAGAGAAGTTCATTCATTCACTTGTTTACTTCATGTAATGAGTTGATCTCTTACTAGATTTTAGGGCTCTCTCCTACTCTCTCCCCTCTTTCCTAGCTGGAATTAGCTTCTCCTTAGGTACTTATTTCTTCTGCCTATCAGACCGAAAGCCTTATTTGTTTTCATACCAATGCTCTCAGGGGCCATTTTCTTCTTTCCCCCAGCTTGGGACCAGAGATGACTTCCCAGATGGTCCCTGGGCTTTCATCTTTATGACTTGTCCCGGAGACAGTGAGCTACCCAGCTCTATCATTTATGTGACTATCACAAAAGACAGGGAAGATCTGATCGATGCTTATCTTACAAATGCGTTCTGCACTCACCACTGTGCAGTGACCTGTCTGCTCATACCTGCCTTAGGTAGCTGCCTGCTGGGATGCTTTTTGCCTCTCTTCCAAATGTCTGTGTAGCCCCTGCCACCTTCTGAAGATTCCCTTAGAGGCTTCGATCTGAATGTGCCTTTCAACGGAACCTCCACCTCTCCCTATTTGCATACCACCTACTGGCAAAGCTACGCTATGTGCACATAAACAGATGTTGACAGTACAGTATGGCAAGTTTTAGGAAAGAGCTGCACAGGGTGCTGGAGATGCTTCTTTACTCACCCTAAAAATGTTGAAGTTTTAAATTTCCCTAAGCCTAATCCAGTCTGGGAGTCATTAAATAATAGAAGGTCTAGTCATGATACTCCAGCTGACTTGCTATATGACCTTGGACAAATCACTTCTCTTTATGGAGCCTCAATTTTTTTTTTTTTAACCTGTGAAATGAAGGGAAGTGGATCAGATTAGGAACTGAAACTAGTTTCTACTCTTGCCTCACCCCCTGTGGCAGACCTAGCTCATAAGGGCAGGCACTTTCCCCGCGGATTGTCCACGACGCCACGTGCGTTTTTCTCAACACAGTGTATGAAGCACATTCGTATGCATTCTGTTACTTAAAATCCACAGCAGCTTTCGGAGGTAGGTAATATCATCACATCATAGATGAGAACATTGAGGTTCAGAGTTTAAATGACTTGCCCAAGTTCATACATTGAATTATGAGAAAGCTGGGACCAGGAACCAGGTTTTTTGTTATGGTGAAGCTACCACACTCCCAAATCCGTTCTTATTCCAAAAATCTAAGAGTGTAAACAGCTGCATCAGAAAAAAATGAAGACTAATAACGTGACATTTACATCAATAGTCTGGCACATGGCAAATGCTCAATAAATGTTTATTGAAAGGAGTAACATGCCCTAAAGATTTGCTACAGGTCCAGTGTTGACAGAGTGTTAGGATGGATAAAACTCAGATCCAGAAGAGGAGGCAGACAGCTAATTGTAAAACAAGCTCCAATAATGTAGTCCAGATTAGGGAGAAAGCAGTTGAACAAGATTTGACTACAGAAGTGAATTAGAGGGGCCAGTGAAATAATATTTATTGTGTACCTCTCATGGGCCAAGAAACCATAGTAGATTAATTACATATGGCAACTGCTCATTCTATTGGTATCCCAGCTCCGTGAAGTAGGAGGTATTTTTCTCTATTCTAAAGTAAAAATGCTGTGACTTAGAGAGGTGATATGACTTGCCCAAAAATTCAGCTGAGGACTAGAACGGGGATTTTGAACTTTCCTATAATGAAAGAGACTAGGTCTAGTCTCAACTGTTGGCTTTGAGACTTGAGCAAATCCTTAATTTCTGGTCCTCAGTTTCTTTCTTGATTAAGTGGGAATAATAATATCTG